CTAGAGATGAGTTGTCGGTATTGTACTGTTTCCAGGCCATCATTTGTGTTGTCCTTGCGGACTCTCGTATGGGCGTCGTTGTTGAAGTTTGAGGGTTTGACTGAGCTCAGTTCTAGGAGTGTGATCGCCATGACGCAGCGTCTGAAATAGACGACCGTAAAGTAAGGATGTGGGGTCGTACGGAGAGAGGGTGAGTATATGACTGCTGGTGTCAAAACAATGGCGTTTGTGGTATGATGAACTAGACGCGCCGTGTGCTCGTTATTCAATGGTTCGATTGCACCATCGTATGCCTGAGTATGGGGGTAGCTAGTACTTTCTCGGTTTCTTCACCACCCTCCTCTTCACGTATAGGCAGCACATGCTTCTTATTTACATCGTTGTCTCGTCCACAGGCCATTCCGTCCAGTATGTACAGCATCCTCGGAATTCTACAAGCTCAGCCCATCAGCCAGTACCGCACCGTACCAGATCATAGCTCCTAATCCAACCATGTTGACCAGACTGCTAACACCGTGCAGAATGCCGAACTGCTTGTTCAACGCCTGCATCTCCTTACTATGTGGCCCAGCATCATAGCTCTTCTTCCCATCCCTCGTCTCCTGATGCTTCCTCAGACCCATGACCTCCGTTGTCTTGGGTCCAACGTAGACCCAGTTGACCAGCGCAGTGAGAAACATTGTGGTGTGCAGCCAGGAACTCAAGTTATCGGTTGCTGTCGGCGGGATGGGCGAGGAGGATAGGAATGGTAGCAAAGATGATGCTCCACCGCGTGGGTACGTGAGCAGCATGACGACGGGAGTGAGGGTTTGTAGTGTGAAGTAGACGGGGAAGGTGTGCTTCTGGAGCGTGGAGAATTGAGGGCGAGGGAGGACGCGGAAGGCTACGATGCCTGAAACGAAGGATTGGAAGAGCGTTGAGCCCAGGAGGGTGCCATAGCTATGCTTGTGTCAGAGGATCTTGAGCGTCGAGAGTTGGTAAAGTAGCTTCGTACCTGAGTAGATGGTATGTCGCCGGGTTCTTGAAAGAAGAGAATGACATGTTGGCGATAGTGCCTTGTGAGTCAATCGTGTTGTCAAGGAAGAGGAGAGTAGGAGTGAGCAGGAAACTCGGCGTTTCAGAGCGCCACGAGCAGCAGCCTCGGCAAATGATGATCTCACGACATGTCGGAGCCATGCGGTGACCCTGCATGCTACCCGCGCGCTATCCCATCTGAAGCCTGGCGCGCCTGCCCCGCTAAAGATTTCGCGAGCCCCTCCATCGCGCATCATGGCGTCGTGCGACAATCCTTCAGCCCGTCTAAGGAAGGATCCTAGCCTCCGCCCGACCAAACCGCCGTACACCGACCTCCGCAATGCTACTTCCTTCGCTGATCAACCTCCGCCGCCCAGCCAACACGCCCCTCGAGCCTGAAGACATCTTTGGGTCCTCCCTCGGCGGCATCTTCACCGACGATACACAGAACCAGCATGGCGACGATCCGAGCACGGTCATTCTGTATCGCAATGCCAAGTTCGGAGAGCAGGAGATTAGGGTCGCGGATGTGAACGGCGAAGAAGAAAGAAGAAAGTTTGCGCACTACCTATGGAATGCCGGCGTCATGATGGCAGAACTGGTCAGCGGGCGAGTGGAGGGCGGGGATCTAGGTGCCAGTGGAAAGGGCCTGCACGAAGATGAGGAGGGCTGGAGAGATGGCAAATGGTGGACAGACAAGGAGGAAGAGAAAAAATGGAGCGTGGAGGGCGAGACGGTGTTGGAGTTGGGTGCAGGTGGGTCGGGCTGAGTAAAGAGAGGTGTTGAAGAGAGTACTGATGGAACATTTGCTCGCAGGCGTAGGATTGGGCGGGATTCTGAGTACATTGGCGGGCGCGAAAGAGGTACGTCCATGCTCAGACTCGGATTCTGCATAGGCTCCAACTAACAGTCCGCTAGGTTGCCATCACCGACTATCCTGCTGCTCCTATCCTGGATACCCTCAGAACGAACGTCGCGAAGAACGTCCCCGCGCATCTCAAGCCCAACGTGACTGTCGAAGGTCATCAATGGGGCTCCACAAGCACACCTTTCGAGACCTCGCACGCGAACCGCTACACGCGCATTCTCGCTGCAGATTGTCTCTGGATGCCATGGGAGCACGAGAGCCTGGCCAAGTCGATGCTGCACTTCCTATCCGACGACCCATCCGCACGTATATATTGTATCGCAGGCTTCCATACAGGACGGGCCAAAGTCGCACCTTTCTTCGAGGAAGTGATACCGGAGCAAGGGCTCGAGATCGAGGAGATATACGAGATGGACGTCAACGGGCAGCGGCGGTCGTGGGCGAAAGAGCGCGATGGCGGTACAGAGAATATGGGCGAGCGGAAGAAGTGGCTCGTTCTCGCGCGGATACGGCGGGCTGTTCGGCAGTAGTAATGGTAGTAATTCTTCTTCTTAGCAGACGAAGCGCTGAATCACACCCTCTTGAAGCACAGCGTAACAACACTGCTGCCCGTCTTGCCTCCAAACGTGAAGCTGGGGTACTTGACTTTGCCCTCAAACTCCAGCTCTCCGCCTCCAAACCAGCCCTTGAGCTCTTCTTCTGTCCAATTGCAGCTTGTGATGAGGAATCTGCCGCCCTTCTTCATGAGAGGCTCAACCTTTTCCCTGTATCCTTCGCAGATCCTTCGACCTTGCGCGTCCTCTTCTTGCGACAGGCAGATGGCGTCAAATGTGCCCTTGTCCAGTACGACATCGAAGCCAGCGCCTAGCCACACGCCCGGTGCTTGCGACAGAATATCCCACTCATGGAACGCAATGTCCTTGTAAGAGTCATCTTTCGCGTCGCGAATCGACGTGGCAAGCGTGACGCTCTGCGCAGAGTAGTCGACGCCGACCATCTCGCCGTTCCACTCGTCCTCGCGCAGCGCAAACAGCAAGTGCCCATTGCCTGTTCCTAGGTCCAGGAACCGCGCCGCGTTATGGTCGTCCCCGTCGTCCTCTTTGTGTATGTGGCCCTCGTCGCTGAGATCTTCAAGGAAAGACAGCATGCGCTCCTCGGCGCCCGCGTCGCTGAACCATATTGTTCCTTCGTCGTCGGCGTTTGCGGCAAAGTTCTGGCGTTCGGTGTTGTACGCGGCGTCCCAGTAGGATTTGGTGCCCAGTTCGCTGGGGTCGAGGTGCGTGGGTGCGGTCATTGAGTGTAGGTTCGAGGAGGAAGGAGCGACTGCAGCAGGTGTAGGAGGCGTGGGTGATGCGACGCTGTGGCAGAGAATAAGGTTGGTAATGTTTTTGGAGGGGCAGAGAGTTGGTTCCTGGCTGGACGCTCGCGCATTGCGCTGCAAGCGAGGCGGGCCGCCTTTGGCATGACAAAGCATGTCAATTATCATATGCACATGGAGGTCGTTGAAGAGAGATACGCAAGCTCTTGTGTTGACAATACTTCTCTTTTCGAGAGGACCTGATTGGATAGGTGCATATGGATTTCGGAAGTTGTGAGTCGCTCGTTCGCGTCGCCACCGCAGTACCATGGGACGAAGATGAAGAACCGAATTCGCATCGCACTCAGATGTGAGTCAGAAGGGGAATATAAGAGAGATACGCATAGATTAAGTGGAATTGATTAATTTGCTATCCGAAGTGTGAAGTCATCCTTGCAGTTGCCTATGCGACTTACATCGAGCTGCTCTCGCAATCTACAAGCAGGTCTGCGAGTACCCTTACGACGGTCGGTCGCTGCTGCGGATGACCTCACCCTTGTAGACTGTCCGATAGATATGGCCGAAACCTTGAGGGTCTATTTGATACCGAGCATTGATCCGCTTCCAATAATCGGTTGAAATTTCTTTGATCCAAACCTCATCTTTCCACTCTTCTTCCCATTTGTTTACTGTCCAGTCTCGTCTCTCAAAGAAGAAAGTGTCCTGATCCCACATCTCACCCACATCTCCAGTGAAGGTGATGTTGATTGTACCGTCAATCACCGCGCGAATAGTGTCAGAAAACCCATCCGGTAGATGCCATGGCAAGCCAATGCGGCATAGAAAGCGACGGTCGAACAATCTGGACGTTGGACACGTATTCTTGACTCGGCGTTGTTCCAGCATGGCTTCTTGCATGGCTGCCGCATATTTGAGAATGTTCCAAGCCTCGAGAGCTTCGCGCGAGTGACCATCAATCACGAGCCGAAAAGAGCCTGCTGGCATCCCATGGGTATGAAGTAGGTAGACCTCCGTTAGCCATGGAATAATAGCATCTAAAACATCAGATCCAGCAATGGAGTCATATCCGGCATAGAGGCTTTCTGGATGTCCCAAAGGTAGGAGGTTGGCCAGTAGATCGATGTGTCTTTCGATCCGAAGCTTTGAATTCGCCTGGCACAGAGGAATGAGACCTCGTACATGGCATACGGAACGCGGCATCGACTTGAAGTCTTCGTGGAGGACGAGTTTACGCAGATTGCGCAGCCTTTTGGGGGGGATTTGGTGCACTGCGACATGCGTTAGAAAGCTCATTCCGTGTGAGGATTCCTGTATTACAATAAAAAGTGCTGTGGTGAGGGACTTGGGAGATCAATGAGTTGGGATAGCACTTACAAACGTCGATCGCTACTGCAGCAGCTGAGAAGTAGTATCTACTGTTGCAAAGTTTGCGAGGATCCTCCACATGGCACCAGTTGTAAATCAAGGTCTTGTCTTCTTCTGGCCGGCAAACGAGCCCTTCCATCCTGGCAAGCTCGCTGTCCGTGGGAATAGACCAAGGGGTTGGTCTCCAACACAGTACATCGTGTAACGCCCCTTCCACGAAGATATTGTACTGGCCCATACCTCGAAGGTTGCCCACCGGGCAGATAATGTTTCCAAAGATTCCTCGTGTGAGCCGCGCAAACTTGGTTGAATCTCGGTTCTTGGCCATGTCGAGCGCGAGCACAAGAGCTTCTACAAACTCTTCACACTCATGATTGTCCAAACTCATATCCATATATTGCGATAGTATATTGATATTTCGCGTAACTGCTTGCTTCAGAGGTTCTTCGAGACAGTTTTCGATGACTGGATAACGAGCTCTTATTTCAGTAAGATCTGACGCCTCGAGCAGTTCCGCGACACAGATCAGCATGTATTGTCTTTGAACTTGAACCATATCAAATACTAACAAGTACGTCAGTATTACTTCAAGCTCATCCATCGACGTTCGGCGCTTACTCTGGCAAAATCGAGCGGCTCTTGACCGGAGTTGCTGGAATTCTGTGCCATCGGCCACGGAGCAAAGCGTACTAAACTCGATGTTCTGGAAAGCGACGTGCTGCATCTCGTCTGCAGCGATCTTGCAGGTCATCATGAGACCAAGGCCCTCAGTCTGAGCTGAAGCATCGGAGTAACGTAGCTTTGCCGTGTCCTTGTCGTACACATACTGTGGTCGGCCCTGAGCATAATAATCGTAGATGGTATCCCGTATTTCTCGTGGGAGTCGGAACAGCGGCGATTGTTTCTGCCCGAGAAAGTACTTCGTTTTCGGTGTCGTCATAAAGGGGAACATATTCCAGTGCGCAAAGTTGTTGGGGCCTCTCTTGTTGAAAGCCATCTTGGCTGTATCAGGTGCCATACAGATGTTGATGGCGACTGCCCGGCATCTAATACTGCGCCGTTATACCTCCTCTGGCTTTTTCCGATGACTCCCAAGAAGGATGCACCATGGTACCAAACTATGGCTTGCTGGTCGTAAGCGGATTCATCGGATTGAAGTGTGTGCCCATTGGCTGATCGCCTGGGCACCATTCAGCTTCAGGGCAACGACTCATCGGTGGCTGTAGATTTAATGTCTGAGTGTGAGCGACATGCCCATCATCAGCAAAGCTGTATTTGCTGGGTATTAATGGTTATACGCGACGCGAACGAATAGATGGATAGTCGGTCTGGCGCGGACCGGTTGGCGCGAGCCTGCCCAGGTGGTGCCCAGCCTCTTCATGAGCACGGAGCTCCACCACCCAGGCAAACATCACGGCTTACTCTCCCACAACCTCCTCAGACCATGACCTCACTCGCTCGTTGAGTCTGATCTTGCACACGTCCCTAATTATACACTTCGAAACCTCACATACTCACGTTGCAAGCGCTATTGCAGACCGCGCGCAATCTCAGCGATGGCTTTCGCCAGAACTCACCCTTGAACCGCGACGAAGACGAGAACGCTGTCCACGCATAATGAGCTCCGCACGCCATCCACATTCCTACCCCTTCAGCATTGCGGCCTACGTACAGCCGGTCGAACACGCGCAACCCATTTACGGCGTATCAAGGCATTCATTGCATACCATCAACCCGGGCTCACGGCACGACGCGCCCTTTCCGGAGAGGGAGGCAGACCTATACATTATGACAATGGGGCAAAGCGGCTTATAGTACAGCTGTCCTGCTGATGGTTTGCATCACAGACTTCTTGCTCTTTGTGAAGAAGTGCATGATCTAAAGGCATTGCACATCATCATCTTCACATCGATGTTATTGATACATAACAGCCAGCTATAAGCTCTGTCAGAATGCATACTCTGAGGATTGCGATGTCTCCTTTTTGATGAGGAGTACCTTTTGCGTATGTGGTGGTTATGTATTTCGGGAGTCATGAGTGGCTCGTCTTGCTCTGCGTCATCGCAGTACCATGGATGGGATGGAAGGAAACCAGAATATCGAAGTCAGAATGCATATTTGCCGATGAAGACACCGTATCGCTAGATTTGATGGCATCATCAGTCCACCGATCTGTTACCAGCAACAACCTCTGTTCTCCGACCGATTCCGTCGATATCGCGGAACTCAGGGCCCACCCACAGTTCTCCTAACCGTTGTTACTACTCTCTTGAAGCCCGCCGGTTCGATGCTGTATTTAGGGTGTAAGCGTCTCCAGAAGTCTGTTATCAATCTCGAGTAAACCACTCTTGCGCGCCATGCATGGTCCCAGTCGTTGAGGGTGTATTGCATGTGGTGCTCTAATTTCAGCGCTGTGGCCTCAATCTCGATTGAGTTCATGCCCGACGTCAGCCGCATGATCGAGGTTCCTTCTGCAATGCTCCGAACATTAGCTGCAAAGGTTGATGGGAGGTCCCACAGCTCTTCATAGGCCCTGAAGCTTTGACGGTCGTTGGGTCTGGTGGGGATATTGAGTGCGCGAAGCCATCTTGCAGAGACTTCTTGTAAGGCCCCCACGGGCACTACGATCAAGTTCCACGCCCAGTCGCCTTCCGTAACACTATTGTCGAAGACCAGCGAAAAGCTCTCTTTGGGCATACCGCGCGTGCGAAGTAAAGATACTCCTTGGATCCAATGTATCATGGCTTCCAGACATTCCGAGCCTTCAACAAAATTCCAATCGTAGTGACTGCCCCGCCGGTTGTCCTGCCCGCTCGAATGTACTGGAAGGAGCGATTCGAGAAGGCTTATGTGGCGCGTAATTCGAAGTTTTGCGTTCTCGCGGCAGAAGGGGACAAGACCTTGCGAATGGAGCTCTGGATTTGAAACGCTTTTGAAGTCTTCCCTTAGCACGATGTTGCGTAGTGTCTTCCGCACTCTGGGATTCATCATCTCCACTGCGCAATGTTAAAGGCATTCGGCTGGGTCTGATGTGCAACTTACAGTATTGAATAGCTACTGATGTGGCAGAGAAGTACCATTTGGTATTGTGCGCGGCTTCAAATGTCTTCAAGCTTCTTACTACGCTCATCGACAGTAGCGCTTCGATAGACGCAAGTTCCTCATGGCTCGGTATACGCCACGACTCAGGCTTCCATTCGAAAAGCTCACACAGAGATCCCTCGGCGAAGAGGTTTCCATGTCTTGGTTTATCTGAGATACGAAGAAGAGGAGAATACCCGTCTCCAAGTGTCTTCACAGCACGTCTTGCAAATGTAGGAGGGTTGCGAGCCTTGGCAAGTTCGAGCACGAATTGAAGAGCGTCATCGAAGTCTCCACTGTTCGACAAGGAATCGATACAGTTGTCGTTGAAGTTCAGATCCAGTCCAACTGTGCGATGTCTGATAGCCCTGCGAAATGGGCCGTTAAACCACAACGAAAAGTCTCGGTATTCTTGAGCGAGCGTCGCGTAGTCATCCGTCGTCAGTAGCGAAGCGGTGCAGATGATCATACGAATTCTTTGGATCTGGCGGCATTTGAGGACTGTCGTTCAAAAGTCAGTCTAGAAGGTTGCCGTTGACAAAATATGGTTCACGCCCGGAGTACACGTACGACTTTTGAAGCGTCCAGCCCGTGAGTTGAGACTCAGGCACCCATTCCCATCGTTGACAGAGCACATAGCGTGGAATATGACCTCATTACGCTCGAAAGCCAACCCCTTCATCTCAGCCGCCGTGATCTTACAAGTCCTTATCAAGTTGATGTTGATAACCTGTGGTTTTGGCGTTGTGGATGACGGGTGACCATCCATCATTTTCCGTGTTTCTGGGTTGTAGAAGTAGCCATTCTCGGCGAGGACGTAGTATTCGTAGATCTTGTCTCGTATCTCGCGTGATAACCGGAAGAAGGGCGATTGTAGTTGATTCGATCTCACGTTGATGAACGGCCATTTGTTCCAGTGCGCGAAACGCGTAGTTCGCGTTTTGTCCGACATGCTTGAGGAATGAAAGATGCTACAGATGCTGCTTCATATATACTTAAAAGCTCGAGACGATGACTCTCGGTTTGACTATCTTCATACCTTGACTCACACAGGCTTGATTGGGATGAGTCGCAAGCACGCTGTTAACTTGGATCGGAGTCAGGGTAACACGTGACTTGAGTGGTTTATGGTTCGTCTAAGATGACTAGAGAATCTACTGGTTTGGACGGTACGATATGACTCAGACTACCTAGGAATATTGCGCAACGACAAGACCTCAAGCGCCTGTTGGACGACGAATGTCCCAGGATGGCCGTCGCCGCCTGGTCCTGACTTGGACTCCATCGAGAAGAGGACTTTTCCCATACGCGACGGACTCTGTACACTTTTACGTCCCGCTTTTGCCAGTTCCACGGCCAGCTCTAGATGCGCTGGACAGGATATTGTATACAATGACTCGTTTTCGTACGCTGTCAGTCCGCGCGCACGGCGACAGGTTCCTATCCTACCTGGGTACAATGGAACAGGGCAGAACTACAAGCGAATGGGTATGGACTATGCCATACCTAGTATTCGCATACTACGCGCACTACAGATATGCTTTTCTATGCGTTGCACTCCAAAACACATTATGGGGGCAACGCGGCCAGTCGTCTGAATAAAGAGAACTCGGTCAAATCTCACAACCGCATTTTACCGGTCACCGCTGAAATTCGAGCAACCTGGCTTGCTATGGAAAAATCATGCGCTAGTATGGGGAGCGTCCCTTGAGATAACGCTCTGAAACCTTCGGCCAGAAGTTCGAGACGATGCCCTGGTCGATGGTCTCATTCCAGTCCGTCTCCCATTGCAATTCTGTCCAATCCTTCCTTTCGGAGAAGAATTTGTCTTCGTCCCAAAGCTCGCCCACGTCTCCATTATACCTTACGATTGAGTTACCCTGACAGATATCGCGGACCATGCTTGCGAATCCTGAAGGGAAGTCCCAAACTGCATAATCACCATCGTACATCGGGCGCAACTCCCCGGTGGGCAGGTCTATACCGTTGAGCTGTAGCCCCCTGTATCGGGCCTGCTGCGTAGCGGCAGCGTATTTAAGCATGTGCCAGAACTCTGAAGATTCCCTTGCATCGCCATCTACAACAAGTTGAAATGACTGCACAGGCATCCCAAGGGATGGTAGCAGAAGTGCTTCCTCGATCCATGGAATCAGCACTTCGAAACAGTCTTCACTGTAAATGCACTCCTCTTCGTAACCAGACACATAATCAGAGCCTGGTGGAAGGAGATTTGTAAGCAAGCTGATCCGTCTCTCAATACGAAGTCGATGATTCTCATGACAGAATGGGATAAGGCCGCGCGCATGGCATTCTGGTCTGGACACGGCTTTGACGTCTTCATTCAGTACGACTGATCGGAAGTTGGCCCTGCGTTTTCTGGACATGCTTTGAACTGTCGTCAAGTTAGTAAATAGCGTCTCGCAATCGCCCACTGTAGCCTCAATGGATTAGGCGACCTAAAAATAGATGCTGGATTGAACTCACAAAACTCAATCGCCACAGCGGCAGCAGAAAAGTACCAACGGTAACGCGCAGCATGGAAATGTTCTGTGATATCGGGGAAGTAGAAGACGCCTTCGTCTGTAGTTGGGAGCAAATTGTCTAAATCGCCAGGCTCACAAATAAGTCTTTCAAGTTTTGACAACTCTTTATCTCCCGGGATGGACCACGGCGTAGGATGCCAGTGATATATGTCGGATAGAGCTCCCTGTACGAATAGGTTGTTCTGCACGAAACCTAACGTACTCGATCTGATGGGACAGTCACCGAGACCGAAGGTCTCACGTGTAAGCTCTGCAAATCTTGACGGATGTCGGTTTTTCGCTAGTACTAGTGCATGTTGGAGAGCATCGCTGAACGACTGGCTAAGGACTTCTTTGCAACTGTCATCCGATGTACCAAGCTCGTCCGTTCGATGTGTAACTGCCTGGTTCAGAGGTGCGTGGAACCAGTGCTTGACTGTGGGGAATTGGCTGTCTATGTCGACCAGATCGTCAGGGTGTAGTAACTCGGCAGCGCATACTAGTATGCGACATTTCTGTCGCTCGACATACTTCAGTACTGTTTCTCTGTCAGAGTTCCTTCATAGGTAGGGTAACCAGGAATATTACTAACAGCATCTAAAGCGCCCTGCCCTCGAACGAACGTTCATGTATTCTTTCCCGTCATTGAATGAACGCTTGGGGTAGAAGTGGATTTTTCCGATGGCACTGTCTCTCATCTCTTCTGCAGCGATGCGACATGTGATCCGTAGACCTAGCCGAACGACTTGCTTAGGCGATATTGACGGCTTGTGGTACAGCAGTTTGTCGATCTCGCTGTCGTAGTGGTAACCGTCATTCTCGAGAAGGTAGTATTCGTAAATAACATCTCGAACCTCTCGAGGAAGACGAAAGAGTGGCGACTGGAGTTGAGCGGAGTAATATTTAGTTTTCGGGGCGGTCATGAAAGGGAACGTATTCCAATGCGCAAACTTGCCAGACGGCCTGGCAACGGGTGTAAAAGCCATGGTGATAGATTTGCGAAGCGTAGGAAAGGAACATTCTTAGCACACATGAACGAGGGGAGTATTGTGACGTGGCCATGACTCCTCTTGATATTGTCTGGTAAGGTTATCAAAACCGTGGCTCGCACAAGATCGCGGCGAACCCCTACCAAAGTTTAGGATGGCGCCATGACTCATGCTTGAGGATGGGTCCAGAGAGCCACAACGTTCTATGATTAGAGGCCTGATATGATTGAATCATTTCTTATCAGCAGATGATCGACGTTGACCGAAAAAAAGGTTCGATTCAACCTATCCATGATATGACTGCAGAAGCGGTAGTGGCCGCCCCACAATACGGAGATGATGTGTACAAGACTTCTAACATACACGATGCGTGTGAAGTGGGCTGACGAGTATTTTGGATACAATGAGTTCAAGAGCTACTTTATAAAAGACACCGCGGCAGCTAATGGTTGCGCGCGATGACCGTTTTTGCTCAAACCTCAGACCGGTTACTGTACTTGTCGAAAATAGAAGGCCAGCAGTCCGTGGCGATAGCCTCCGTAAATGTAACCTTCACTTTCCAATCCTCTTCCCAGTCATCATCTGTCCAATCTTTTCGCTGCTGGAAGAACTCTTCCTCATCCCAGAGCTCACCAACTTCCCCATCGTAGTAAACCATAGATTTACGTTCTGCGATGTCTCGAATCATTCGTGCAAACCCTACTGGGAAAAATCCAGACGCCAAAAAGACAATCGGCATAGTGTTTTTCTCAAGCTACGTAAGGAACCCCAAAAACTAATGACGTGGAGCCTGACTGCAGCGTATGCAAGTTTACTCAGTTTTGAGGCTCATGGCAGTACTTCCTGGATATTGACGGCCACCCTTGTGTTGAGATTACTCGTGACATTTGTCCTTCCCATTCATCTGCCCAATCATCTTCTGTCCAGGCTTCCCGCACCATGTAGAATTCTTCCGAATCCCAGAGCTCGCCAACATCCCCGTCATATCGGACAGGAGACTTACCTTCGACAATGTCTCGAATCATTTGTGCAAACCCTGCAGGAAGGCTCCATGATCCGGTGAAAGGAGAGTCGTAATCTAGTGGTGCCGGTCTTGCTCTCGGCTGTTTCCCGTTTGCTCGACACTGCCTGAGTAGAGCCTCTTGGGTAGCTGCTGCGTGTTTTAGTAACTTCCAGGCCTCCATTGATTCTTCGCAATGTCCGTCGATGACCAGCTCCAAGGAATGTGCTGGCATCCCTTGTGAAGCTAACGAAGTGGCTTCTTCAATCCAAGAGACCAGCACAGTAAGGCAATGGCTGGCCAGAATGATATCGCGTTGATGAGCTGCTGGTTGAGAGAAGGAAGCTGGCAGTAAGTTGTTCATAAGGCCGATTCGTCTGACGATGCGAAGCTTCGGACATTCGAGACAGAAGGGGATAAAACCGCGACCATGAGACTCTGGGCGGGATACAGCTTTGAAATCTTCTCTAAGGACCACGGTGCGCATATTCTCTCTCTGTTGTTTCGACGAACGTTGTACTGCCTATGTTAGCAGCTTGTGCTTGTATAAAGGTTCAGACCGGCTTACAGAAGTCGATTGCTACAGCCGCAGCCGAGAAATACCACCGCTGACGCGTGGCCCATGAGTGAGCTGCGATATCCCGAAAGCAGCGATCTCCATCCTTGGTTATGTGCAGGTCAACATCCGAGTCTCTGGGTTGACAGATCAGAGCCTCAATGTTAGATAGCTCGCCGTGCTCCGGGATGCACCATGGTCTGGGCTGCCAATGGACTATTTCGGGGAGAGCACTCTCCACGAAAAGATTGTGGCGTTTCAGAAACATTGCGGTGTGACGAACGGGGCAAGCACCTGCGCCGAACGTGGCACAGGCCAAGTCCACGAATTCTGAGGGGGATTGAGTTTTTGCAAGAACCAACGCACGGTGAAGAGCGTCGCTAAAGTTCTGATCAAGGATGTCTTCGCCGCCCAATTCGTCGGTTTGATTCGCGATTGCTCTCTGCAAAGGTTCATTGAACCACGTCTTGACAGTTGGATAGCGAGTGCATAACTCCTGAAAGTCTCCATGTTTCAAAAGTGGCGCGACACGTACGAGCATGCGACATCTCTGGCGCTCGACGTAAGTCAATACTAAGGCAATGTAAGCGCTCAAAATGGGAAATCAGTTACTGTGGTACCTACAGCACTCGAAGCGGCCCGCCCGCGAATGGAGTCCTTGGTATCCGGTTTCGTCTTCCATTGACTGCGCTCCATGGAAGTTGAGCTGAGGAAAAGCAACGCTCCTCATCTCCTCACTGGCGATGCGACACGTGATACGGAGACCGAGTCGCACCACCAGTGGCTTGGGCGTTGTCGAAGGATTCTGATAAAGGAACTTCTTGACCGCACTATCGTAGTGATATCCATCTTCTTCAGAGAGATAGTACTCATAGATTTGATCCCGGAGTTCGCGAGGCAGGCGATAGAGTGGTGATTGGAGCTGTGTGCAATAGTGCTTTGGCACGACACTGGAGGTCGGCATCGGTGTTGGTGTTGCAGGAGCCATGGAAGCTGTAACTAGAATGAGATACTGCTGTTATAAGTACCCGCTTACGTTTTCTGCGCCGACTTCTAGGTCACGCTATGTCCTCATTTCGTATGCTAGGAAGACTCATCGGTTCAAGTATGGGAACGAACCACAGGCCGTGCCAACATTGCGCGAGGGGTCAGGGCGCTAATAGACCCCGAACCATGTTCTTCAGGGACTGACTCATCGATATCATCGTCGCTCAGCAAGTAACACGAAGGTAGCCGTTGGTAAAATCGTACATCTCCTGAGTAGGTTGCAAGGTGAAGTTGCTGGTTGGAGGTGAGTCAACGACTCTAGCACAGCTTTGGTGTACGGCTGGAGCTGCGTGTGAAGGCAATCACGACTTACACGTGAACAGTCACGTCGCAATAGTTGTGTGTCAGCCGAACGCGACGCGATGATACGTGCTGGAGGGTAAGAACGGGAAATGTCCTGGGTGTTGCGGATGATACGCGTGCGGGCAGGCTGAACTTTGCAGGATCCGGCTAGGCCGAAAACGCTCGAAGGTACGTCCCGAGGTCATGGTTGAATATGGAAAGGCCCGGGGTGGCTGCAGTGCCTCCACGCTTCACAGGCCTCATCTCCATCTATATGCATCCTGCTTGGAAACAAATTCTTTCGTCCTTGTGAGATATTAACTGACTTTGTTGCGCTCTGGATAAGCAGAACAAAGACCCAGCGAGCTTCAACACTACCCAGGTGTTCTCGCGCTCTGAGCATCGCAAGCCAAGGTTTGGCCTATTGATACCAAAGCCCAAAGGCATCCCCATTCCCAAACTCCTGGCCGACGAACCCGTCCGCCAAATCGCCAAAGTCGAACCCCGCATTTTCTTCAACTGGAAATGCGGAATCGTGCCGTACAGCTGAAGCAAAGCCGTTTTCACACGCGCCAGCAAGAATCATATCGCTGTAATTGAAGTTGACATCACCAACGCCCGCCATGAAATCGTCGAAGACAAGCTCCGGCAACAGAGGAGCATCCAACTCAGGCGCGTGAGTAAATAATAATGCAGTATCGAAAGCATGGGCGGCCTGACTCTGCGACTCGTAGTGGTGCTGCTCACGCGATGATCGGAAAGTAAGCGTCCGTGCCAACTTCGAGAGCACATTCGGCCGTCCTTCGCTCGAAGTCGGCCTCTTCTTACTCGCCTCAGCATCCGGTCTTGTATACCCTTTCCAGTCCGCCATTGTTAACCCATCTTTGAAGTGACACGCTATGTGCGTTTCGCGATCATCCCACGTCTTCAGCACCTTTGCGCAGAAACCGCAAACCCAGTTCTCCGCGGCATGGTTACCCGGGCCCTCTCGTCTCCAGAGATCGCGGGTGGTCTCATCCAGTTTTGCTTTATGGAAGTTTTTGACGTGCTGACGCAGATGATCTGGTCGCAGAAACGTTCTTTCGCTTTCGTCCTTGGCCATGCACTCAGCTATGCGATGGCATTCGGCGAAATGCTTGTCACTGGGGTTCGCTGCCATGCAGAATACACAATACGTAGACGCATCCGATCGAGAAGAAGTTATGATGCTAGGGCCAGTGAGCAAGCATGTCCACTTTCGTTTCGGTCGATGCTGGGTTTCCTCATGGCGGCGCCAGGATTTGCGCGCGATATGTTGGTAGCAAAAGGTGCACTGCCACGTCTGCGATTCGCTATCGACATCATCGGTAGATGGAAGTTGTGAATTGGATGGGAGCGATTGCGCTATGGAGACCGAAGTAGGTACGTTGACAGACTGGCCATAATCCTTCTTCTTGCCTCGTCTAGATGAGATTGTATTCGTATGGCTAGGGTTGTCACCTGCGCAATGGGAAGCAACAGAATAACGACAATCAGATGGCGTATCGAAGCGTGATGAGGCGTCTCGGTGCGACAGCGCCGTGGATATTACGCTAGAAAGTCGAGTAATCCGAGCTCCTTCATCTTCCGAGGCCGGGTTGGACGATTTCGCATCAACGACCCTTCTTCGCGCTCGCGCATTGGTAAACCAGGTGTTAACCTGCTTCTCAGTGATACCACATTTCTCAGCTAGTGAACGCTTGGTCTCGTTGTCTGGATACGGATTGTTTCGGTGTTCTTTCAGCCATCCTTGCAGACATCGCGTCGCATGCGACTCGAGCTTGGTGGGTGGCCGTCGGGCGCAAGAACGTTTGATCTTCGATGGCTGATCTGATGGAGTTGGAGATAATAAGCCCGTCTTTGGGGTGCACGAAGTACAGTTGACGGACTGGCCTGGGTGAACGAGTGCCAAGATCTCACATGCAGAGCATCGCCCGATACTCGCAGTTTTAGAGGAGTCTTTCGAAAGGGTTGCTTTTATAGGACGTTGTCGAGGTGCCGCAGTCGTCGTCTTTGGTAGTTCAGCAGTACCTAGTACAGCCTCAAGCGTCTCGAATCCTTCACTCGTGCAGTCGTCGCATCTAATGTTCCCGT